TTTTTCTTTGTGTTCTTTAGGTGGTTTCTTGACTTCTTTTTCTTCTTTGAGTTGTTTCTTCACTTTCTCCTCTTTAAGATGTAGTTTGACTTCTTCCTCTTCTTTAGCTGGTTTCTTCACCTCTTTCTTTACTTTGGGAGGTTTCTTTTCTTCTTTCTCATCTTTGAGGGGTTTCTTCACCAGTTTCTTTTCTTTGGGCAGTTTCTTTACATCTTCCTCTTCTTTGAGAGCCTTCTTCACTGGCTCTTCTAAAAGCAATCACCAAAGTGTCAGTTTATCAAACACTATAATATATAATGAACTGAAATGTAAACGAGTCTGAGCTGGATAATTTATAAAGTGTCGCTTTGTGTGGAAAACTTACGAGCATATCGTACAATAGCTTATGATAGCAACAAGCAGTAAAACAAATCAGCGATGTAGAACATTCTGTTGGGAGCATGTTTCACATTTTATATACACAGTGGGCTCTACTTGGGCATAGACACTTTTCTAATTGTACGTGATTACCTTTGGGTCTCTTCTGAGGTTTTGCCTCAGGTTTGGCCTCCTTCTTTGGCTTTACCTCCTTTGGTTTTATGACTACAGTTTCTTCAAGTTTGAGTTCATCCACTTTTTTCTCCTCTTTCTTATGTTCTGCAGCTTTGACATCTACAAGTGGCAAAACATCGTCACAAGCTAAACTAGTAGGTTCATGTATTGCACTCTTGTGTTTGCACCCAATCAATGCACTTAGTTGGAGTAGTTGGAAATACAAAAGGTGTTTTGGGATTAGGAAATGTTAAAAATATGTTTCACGAACATTACCTTTAACAATGGCATCTTTTACTTCTTTTATTGCATGTCTTTCCTTTGCCTCTTTGAGAACTGAAGTGTATTACACAGAAATATGTGAAAATGTGTTGCATATAAAAGTGCAGCTCTTATCAGTCATTAGACCTCTAATATACGAGTAAGTTTAATGACAAATAATCATGCTTGCAAAAGCACTATAAGCGTTACAGTGCTAAAAATTCTACGATCAAAAACACACCACAAACTACACTGTTAAAATAGTCAGACCTGTGTTTTATAGCTAAACCACAGAGATGTACCATGAAGTGATAATATGTAGTTATTCTGTCATCTTCATGCAGAAAACTATGAGTGTTTTTATTTGCCCTTTAGCTCCACCTAGCTGCTCTCTGTGCTCATGAATTCAACTCATACGAAGGGCAAGGATTGCAGTGTTTGAACTGGGAACACCTTGGCAGACAATTAGCACCTTGGGAAATAGATTCGTCTTTACTGAGTCATCAGAAAGGAAAAAGCTGCTTAAGGAACTGGTTTTAATCGGTCCCAAGATCTTCTTTCAGTGCAGCTGTTCACATCTAAGTCAAAATGAATGTCATCTAAATAAATCTTGACTTAATCTTGTTCTGTCTATTTTTATTTGCTATAACTCTTTCTGTAATTTGTCTCTTAAAGACACACATCAACTTTTTTTGAAAAAATAAATGTCTGTGTTTCCTTTAGTCAGATGATACGACCAGTATCCAGTTATTACCTTTGTGTCCAAAACAGAGACTGATCAGAAAACAATTTCTTTTTCTTGGATCAAAATTAAACCCAACCACAGACACACACCGGGCAAATGTCACCCTATTTCTTACAGGGCAATGACATATAATATAATATGAGCCTGAGCACCACAAAGGAGTATATACACTAAATTCAGAGCAACTTTTGGAGGCAACCCAGTGATTATTGCAAAGTACTAACATCATGCTGGGTAACACAAAAGCTGAGATACTCATGCTCAGTTTAAAATCTTTACAAACTTTAAATTATTCTATTTCTTCCTAAAGACCTAAAACAGGAGGGATGGAGAAAAATTACAGGAAGAACTGGAGTTTCTAATGAGTTTTGGTTCAGAATACATTTCACAAGGAGGGAAAAGGCAGATTTATTGTGTTTAAAATACGTTAAGCCTATTGGTTATCTAAATTCCATAAAAATAAAAGTGTGACTCTGAAAGGCCTTGTGTGATTGTATTTTGTTAGCAAAAGGTTTGTCACATGTTGATCCAAGAGTTTGGATGTATTCAGTTTCAGGTTACTGTTATTATCAGATGTACAGAGGTTTAACTGATGTCGACCTTCTCCTTTGATTTAAAATGTTGGAATGTTTCTTATGTACCTGTTGCTGTAAAACCTCACTCTCTACTATTTTCTGCATTTCTTTAGCAAAATACCAAAGAAGTAATGTGTATAGTTGTGCAGATCTATGAAGTCCACCCACGCCTTTCTGCTGTTCGCTGCAAACTCTGCTCAAACATGTGAAACTACTCGGTTGCACAATGCCACGTCGTTGCATTGATGTAATTCTGACAAACATGTTTGAACCAGAAGAAATTCTAAAGAAGAACAATGATGCAAGTCGATTGGTTCTTTAGGTTTGTAACATGTGAAACCCTACAAGTCTAAATCCATGTTTCTGTTGTTGTTTCACTCAGCTATGGTTCTGACAACTGATTTCACTCACAGTGTGTCTTCTAGCTCATAAAAACACCGTATTGACATGTTAACATGGTTAAAAACTTGATTTACACCAAAGACACTCTTCAATAAAGTCACAAAACCAGATCACAAACACACGGTTAACACAAAGAAGAGAAGCAGTGAAATGAAAACATCATCATTCATCAAACAAACATCTGTTAGGCCCTAAAAACTCACAATCATCTGATCGAAGAGCATCAAATATGCCCTTTGACGGTATGTTAGCAAAACAAAAGAAGAGTGTAAATTCACTCCACCATCATTCCGCATGTCATTTATCATTAATCAACACACTCATAAGATCAGATTTATTTTCAGGACATAATAATGAAGAACAAAATGAAGAATATGTGATGATAGTGGGAGAGTTGGGTACCTTTCTCGTATTTGCTGAGGCGTTCTTCTTTGTGAGACGCTCTGGATCCGACTCGTCTGAGCTTCTCAAAGCGAACGTGAACCTTCCTCTTTCGTTTTGGTTCAGTCTTTCTGCTCTCACTGTTGTTGTTGTTTTCATCGAGATCATCGATGATGTCTTCGTCGTATATAGGGAGTAAGGTTGTTTCCTCTTCATCCTCCTCCTCGTCATCATAAGATTCAGGTATCTGATCAATATCAAGCTCTTCAGAAGCCAGAATTTTAAGATCAAGTTGTTGGACTGATGGTTCATCTTCGTCATCTTCGTCATCCTCCTTAACCTCGGTTTCTATGTCGTCCAGTTTTTCTGCTTCCTTCTCTTCTTCATCCTCATCATCGTCCATGTCTAGATCTTGATCTTCGTCAGTTTTCTCAAACTGATCTTTGGCATCATCGTCAGTAGTTTCAATGTTTTGTTT